AGTGACATAGACATGTGGGGGCGTGTTAGAACGAGGCGTTTTAGGAGGGCGTGGTTGACTCTTAACTTTTATAAAGAATATCTCTTTGGATTTGAGACTTTAGTCTTTGCAACTTTACAGATCTTCTTTATGCACCAAGAGCTTGTAACACTCCAAAGAGAAAGGAAAACTTGAAATCGCATCATATGACCCCTTTAACATTGCTAAGTGCCAACATTTGGTAACAATACACACTCTATGTAAAGTGGTTTTGTCTCATTTTACAGTAGTTACAAGTTTGTGTTGGACTCCTCCCTGTGTAATTTTGGTTAGAAATCTTGTTTAAAAGCAACTCTGCATCTAAAGACCTCAGCATTTACACAGCTGCGGTTTGTCAGATGTTCCTTCCTATACTTAAAGAATCTTTGCAAAGAGCAAACATATTAATGTCTGTTAAACGAAAAAGTCCTTGACAGTTCAAGAAAACAAGTTAGGCAAGAGCAACAACTAAGGCAAGAGTTCCTCCAGTTTTGACAGCTGTGACCTTGAAGGCTTTAAACTGCGTCCATGCTGAGGTTGATTTTTGGAAAGTGCCCGTGTTGTTTTACATCTTCATGCTATTTTTATACTGCATTCATTACTAAAGTGGCTCTTTCACACATTTGACTCTTGAATGAAATGTTTTTGTAAGAAGATTTTTTTTTGTCATGAAATGAAACACCTTTAACATATAACCGAGTGTTGTTCAGTATATCCTGAAAGAATGCAAAGATAAACAGAATATAAATGCCCACCATTAGCTGACATGAGTAGACTTTAGGGGGTTAGGAGCCCTAAAATAATTTATATATATTGTCATTGGATGAAACTGCTTCTCAGAAACACTGGATAACCACATTGAGTGTCTCCACATTCACTTACAAGTTCCACTCTCGCTGAAGTTAGGGCTATCCCATAGAGACATGTAAGATTTATGGAGGAACATTGTGGTAACTGATGCTGTGGATCTTTAGGGAATTCTGGCTTCCTTTTGTATGCTCGAGACGCGCTTCTTCAGAAGAAAAACAACCCTATAGTTAGAGGAAGCTTTGCTGTTCAGCAGCGCTGTTAAACTGATTATTGAAATAAAAGAACTTTATTGAGGAAATGTTGTAGATTATATATGATACATTTACTAGGTTTGTAAATTATTCTGTATTCATTATTGCTTGCAAAGTACAAAGGACAAGAAAGTGTGTGTCTATCTATCTATCTATCTATCTATCTATCTATCTATCTATCTATCTGTCTGTATGTCTGTCTGTCTGTCTATCTATAAATCTATCTATCTATCTATAAATCTATCTATCTATCTATCTATCTATCTGTCTGTCTCTCTGTCTGTCTGTCTGTCTGTCTATTCAATATAATGTATTTATATAATTTTTATTTTTATATATGTATTTGTATATGTATTATTGTGTATTGTTTCTACATGTTATTATTTTATGTTTTTTTATTTATATATTTAATTATATTTTTTTTATGTATGCATGATTATTAGTGATCTTTACAGAGTTACAAGATACATATAGTCCATTCATCTCATGTGTTAATGTGAAACCTGTATCCCAGAGCTTGAGCAGTAATGACCAGTAGCGAAAGCAATGACCAGTATCATGACTTATCAAATGATAGCATTACTGGAACAGCTAACCCAGCAGCTATCCCATTACACAGAGGTAGGTAGGCAAAAAGATGCTAGACAAGCCAAGATTGAGGCTTTGATGTCAAGGCCAGAGGTTAATATGAAAGGCGCCACAGCGAGAACATTTTATATGCATACCATACACCCACACAGAAACAAACACAAATGCACTCCGGTGCACTCAAACTAAAGGGAAATATAAAAAAAGACAGTTTTGTGTATGTATCAGTTGTGATGTTTGCTAACATGTGCCCTCTCTTGTTCTGCAGAAATCGAGCCTTGGATCCACCGATTCAGAGCTGAGGGCACCGTTGATTATTCACAGCTGACCTTTGACCCCGGCCAGAACGAACTAATCGTGGGTGCAAGGTAATGCTCACTTCTTCCATCACAGC